GACCACAGCCAGCGCTGCTCTTCTGCTGTCTATTGCTCTGCCAGCCCCGGCCTCCCAAATGCACGCATGTTTGCGAGCAAACGAGACAGAACTCAGACTTTTTCATGCATGCTTACACAAATAAAGCAGCCCACACCCAATATAAAGCCAAGTTCACAGGGGGAGATGAGTTTAGAGAACGGTGCAGAGCTAAGCAGACTTGAATGAAAAATGAATAAAAGTTGAGTAATGAACCAGTTTCCTTGTCACTCACTAGCATTTTACAAATTTCTGCATTTACCAGATCTTTTGCACACCTTTAGGATATGGTGTGACAACATTCTGCAAGATTAGATGTTCTCAAAACAAGCCATCCTCACTCTTCATTAGCTTCCAGACGCCTAAATGCCCATAGCAGTTCCTTCATATTTGCCTGCAGACTCATGGGTTAAATTAGGTGCTCACTAAAGCACTTGGAAAACTAAACACAGGATACAGTTGGACAAGTAGAGACACACAGAAGATCAGAAGACAAATGCATGTGGACTAATAGGAAGAAAACTGATTTATTACCACTCTTACAGCAGCTCAGTGTAAGCATGAAGCCGTATGCCCAAACTTGAAGAGACCTGCTGAATCAGCAGTGACTCAGGACTAGAGCAGCCCAAACATGGCCACTTTACTCACGGCATGCAAGCTAAAACACGCTTAACATCGCTCATCAATGGAAGGTGCATTTTATGTGTACAGCAACGTATTATAAACAGTAAGGTTAAAAGAATAATAGCTGTGTCTGGATGTAGTTTGTGTTCTGAAAAAGTAAAAAAAAAACAAAAAACACTGGACTTTGTTTTCCAAGTTTGAAGACGTTTCCCGCTTCCCATCCAGGAAGCTTTTTCAATTCAAAATGTCTGGATAAGCGTTGAGTTCCAAAGCCGTGTTATAGATGTAGCATATGTGTATTTTTCACCTTTACAGCTTTGGAAACCAATTGTGGAAACAGACAATAACCTGAGTATATATTTTTGTATATGTTTAAAAAGTCTGTTCAAACAAAATTTGTTGAAAAATCATATAAATGGGACCGGCTTCGAAACATCAAATCAAAGCAACATTGTTTTCTTTTCTTAAAAATATCAAGAACAGATAAAAAACAAACCTAGAGAAAGTGTTTCACATTAATTTCTAATGCTCTGGCATTCTCATGTACCATAGTGAAAACTGTTATATGCAAATTAGGATCTTATGGAACAGTGGGGAACCTTCCCAGGAAAAGCACTTCAATGAATCATCCAATTTGACAAAAAAAAAATTTGATGATCCTCTAAAAAAATAAAGCAGTATTAAAAAAAAGAGAATTAAAATCAGTTTATTTATAATCCTCCAATTCACAACACATGATCATACAGTCAAATTGATTCAAAGTTTTGTATCTAAGGAAAACCAGCTGATTGCATCGACTCAATCCCAAACACCAAACATGCTTATAGCGACAGTGGAGAGGAAAAACTCAATTTTAACAGGAGTAAACCTCCAGCAGAACCAGGCTCAGTGTGAGGGGCCATCTGCTGAGGCCGACTGGGATTCAAGGAGACAGAAACAGAGATACAGGAAGAAGCAGAGATACAAAACAACTTGAGTGCATAAATTCTATGACATCATCTTAAACAGGCTGTCCATAAAAAACTACCTTCTTTTTTTTGCAAATTAGGAGTGAATCAATTTCTTCTAAAGTCAAAGACTCACTGCCAGTTATTGCCACCAGGGATGGCACAACTGGTTTTTCAGGTTGAGAGTGAAAATAGTTTTTGACAGCACTTTAGAGTTGTAATCTGTATCGTATGGGTGTGTTTTAGGGGTGAGACATCTGTGAGTATAGCATTTACAAACATTTCTTTATCAAAGTACTGAATGTTTTTTTTTTAAGAACAGTCTTTTGCTCTGTGATCTGATTTGTTATTTTCTCAGGTTGGATTTTCACTAGTCAGCAGTTCTTTGGGGCTTGCTTTGGCTTGTAAAAGTGTTTTATCTTATTGTTGGTAGTTGTTGCAGCTTGTCACTGGCCTCCTTTATCCAATTTTTCTAATTTGCTGTCTGCCTTTTTTTTTTTGTACTGGTGTAAGTCAAGGCCTCTAACCAACCAGATGAGGTAGATATAAAGATAAACTGGGATGTCTTGATTAATTGACTGATGTCAGTCAGATTGCCACTATTTCCTTCCAACCTATTTTAAGTTTGCTCCTGTAAATAACTAATTTGTGACCAGGTTTTAAACCTGTACTCATCAGAAAAAGTTTGGGGAAGTTCACAATGCAGGTAAAATGCCGCACAGTGACTAAAACACGGATTTATTTGAGCAGAGATGGTTGTGAAATGCTGGGAGGAAGGATCCGCGATAACACTCCTTGATGCCCTTCGGGCGTTGCAACATTTTACTGAAGGAGTTGCCTCATTTCTGCAACAGTTTCATGCATAAGGTGCAAAACATCATCCAATAATGGGCTTGGTAGAATCGTTCTGTCTTCCTGCACCTGCACTGTGTCTAGAGGTCATCCTAGGACAGAGATGGCCTTCCTGATGAGCTTATCTAAAGCCTCTTTCTCCTAGCGGTAAATAAGCTGCTTGTTAAAGAAACTATAACATAGAAGATGACTGATACCTTCATAGAAGGTGAATTAGGGGATCTGTAAGCAGACATATCGTACACACAGTATACTTTATTTGTATATCTATATTGTTGTCTGCTATTGTCCAATGTCATGTTTGTGGGGTAAGAGGTGTTGAAGCTAACCCTGGTCTATTCCTCCTTAAGTGACACTCTTGAACCTCTTTTACTCGATCCAAACGAGTTTCCCAGTCAGATGGGTAAAAATAAATCCTCTGCATGTCAACACTCTAAATACATTTCCTTTAAATAAAAAAAAACCTTTATTTAAGTGGTATAATTTTGACAGAAAGTGAGATTAGATTCAGAGTTAACAAGTCTTCTTGCGGGGTAAATATGTTCTTCTCATCTATTTTTACACAACGCTGTTTTTAGTTTGGCATAGATTCCAACTAAAACCAACCCTTTTTCAAACAATCTCTTATTTTTTCACACTCTTATCTCCTTCAGGCTGTTTTCTTGTCTAAGTCTCGTCTTTTCAGTCCAACTTTGTGTCTGCTTGCTTTTTGTTCCCCGCCCCTTTGCCTCTTCTTCTCTGTACTGGTTAATGTCAAAAGGAGATGCACCCACTGGTTAACCTTTACAGAACAAAGATAAATACCACTTTCTGTATCTTGCTATCGCTCACTCTATCTATTGGTACCGCTCACACACACACACTCTCACATCTAATCTTAATCTGTTGCTATTTGGATGCAAATGCATGTGATTTATAGAAGCAGATATTGATCAAAGTTGAACGATTAATGTCAGAGCTTCTGACATTTACTTGATGTGTCATAAAAGAAGATATTCTGCCCTTGCAACAAACAAACCGTCACGCACACTTGCTCTCCTTGGAGTGGCTGGGTTTAAGGTAGCACCCACGTTTTTTTGTTTTTTTTTCTCTCTAACACCTACACACACACAGCTGTGGCCCTTTCAGGGAGTTTGCACTCTGACCCCTGGTTCAAAGGTTTTGGGTCTTACCCATCAGCCTGTGAGACTGGGGAAGGCTGAGCCAGCTATTTCTACCTTATATTGATACAACTGTCGTATACCCGGCACAAGCTGCTCCACTCTCTGCTGCAGTAGGAAAGCATATGGAGGCAGCCGCCGCGTGGGCGTGCTTTATTGTGCAGCCCTGCAGGTAGAACATAAGAAGAAGTGGAGGAAAGACAGGAAAGGTAGAGTAGTGGAAAAATTGGCTTTGGGGTTTGCTTGACATGCAAACAAGTAAAAACAGTAAAAGAAAACAGTAAAAAAACATGAAAATTGAGATCTGTTCATGTCCTGAGAACTTAGCAAATGAAATGATATTCTTAGAGATGCACAGATCAGAATTTGGAGGCTGGTTTCTAATCACAAGTTATGGTAAAGCATTGAATTGCAGTTGCCTTTAGGTTAGCAGCATATATTCAGAACGTTGATACATAAAGAGAGACCTGTCAAAGAAAATTAGGGCAGTGCATTTATATTTGAAGTACCATGATTCATTGGGCCTTATATTTTTAATTGTCTCTATGATGTTAGCTGAATAATTACTGTCTAGAGCTGGTTTAGAGGGTAAAACACATCAACCCAACAGGTTTCTTTTGATCCCAGACACAAACCCATTATTTTAAGCCTGTTTAACTCAACATTTTTGGCTAATCTGATGAAACTATCTTTAGGTGAAGTCTCTTTATCTGTTGTTTCTCTCCACTTAAACCTGACAGGTCCTATGCGTTTTTGAAAATGTCAAATGTCTGCACAATATTGCAGGCTCTAATAAGCCAATATTTCATTGGTTGTTTAATTTTTGTTGTGAACATTGCCTAAAGGTATAGAGAATATCATAAAGAACAAGGTGTACTACAGCTGCTATTTTCAGTTCTGTTTGGTTTAATGTTTGGGCACCTGGCAGGTGCTGTGTGGAGGTCTGTGTTGGGGGCAGGGTGTTACGCCAGCACGCCACCTGTTCTTGGGGCCCGTAGCCCAGCATTGACACGGTGACTCACTGACCAGACGGCACACGTACAGATGGCCACAGCGCTGATCTAGGATCCGCTTTGGACTTCTTTGGCTGACACACAAACACATTCTGCTGCTTTAAAAGCCACAGCCAATGGCATACCAGTAACACCATGACCACATCCAGCCGTGCACGCACACAGACTCCAACCATATGAAGCAAAATAAACTCTTACACAGAGGGACAGAGGGATTTCTTTTTAAAGCTGCTGCTCTTCTTTCCCCCCACTGCAGTTTAAATGTGCGTCAGCATTTTGGAGTTCATACCCAAATGGTTTGATGTGTGTCATCTGGAAATATCACTGACTTCTGTGGTTTATCACATCTGTAGACTGACCTGCATTCTTCTTTGTTTCGGTTTCAGGAAGTTGGAGGTGTTATGGTGGCCCACAGGTCCTGAGACTGAAAAAGGAAGGACCTAACCTACAGCCATTTGGTAAGGCCTGCTAATAGGGCGTTTAGATTCTAAACTGTGTTAGTTTTGTGCCAACATACATTGTTTGGTTAGTTAGCCATTTTGTTTTGGTATTATTCCCTTTGTTTGATCACTCTCATGGGAAATAAACCCTCCTTCCCTAGAAGGATTTTAGGTATATGGACGTATTAAAAACAATCTAACCAGGTTCTTGGATTATTTAAATCCAACCTCAAGTAAAAAAAAACACATTCCCTGCTTTTATTAGTTATAAAACACAGATAAAGCCAAATTAAAGATGTTCTGCCATAATAATGCATACTTTAGTTTAACAACCACATACCAGCAGAAACACCTCGTTTCAAGTATAATACATGGAGGTAGAGGTATAATGCTGTGGGCTTTAAATTCTAAAGTCCAATTTAGCTTTATTTTCAAAGCCTTTCAAACATAACCCATTTGGACCAAAGTCCTGCAGAGAAAACATTCAAATGACACGGTCTGATGTAAGAATATCTGTCTGACAGCTGAGTCCAAAGAGGATGGCCCAGTCTAAGTTTAGACTTAAGATTAATGGAAATGTTAATGTTTTGGTTCTTAGTGAGCTGTAAAGGGGAATGATTGTGATTGTTTGTTGCATATTTTTAAAGAATGACTCAAAACAAATAGTTTTCTTCTTCTACTAAGGTCTTGTGTCTTAAAAATAAGTTCAAGTAGGTTTTGTAATTTTCTGCTGTTCAGATTTGCTTTAAATCCAGTCGCGCCTGTTATGTGGTGAAAGACCTCTGTGTGTAGTTGAGAGTCATAAAACAGGGTGAGATGTGTGAAAATAAATGAGTAAGAGAATAGTAGGAGCGAAAGAAGCACGTCGCTCACACACATTTAATAGCTGAGACGGCGATGTTGTAAAATGATAGGGTGTTACCAGATCTCTATCTTACCAGCCTCATTCACACACAAAACAAACTCTCTGCTGGTTTGAATTGTCCTGGCAGAGAAAAAAAAAATGCTTTAAAATATCTGAGTCAGACATTGAACCTTCCTTTGTACTTCAAAGCTGTCATTGGAGGAAAGATCTGTTAAATATTTGCCTGTTTGCTCACAGGTTGGCAGCATCCAAGAAAAACACTGCCTTAAAACTCTGACCAAATAGTACTATTTCATCATTTTCTTTGCAACTACTTATGTACTAGCTTTATATTTATAGATTGACACAAAAATAGAAATACATAGGTAGACATCTTTCTACTCTTGATTCCGATACATGAATTTAAATATCTGCAGATCACAATACTTTTTCAATGCCATAACTCTGTTTGCTTTGATCTTATAACATAGATATTCCCTAATGGCAACCTACAATTATTGTAAGGTCAAAGAGGAAGACATAACAACATTGAATTGTGTTAACAGGACAAATTCCACCGTGAAAACAAAACTGTAAGAGTTCAAAATGAGTCTATTTATTACATCAGAGATGCTCATATAGGCGTAAACTTTTCTGCTTTTCAAGAGACATTTAACTCATCTTGTTATAAAAGTAGACTGAATACATCAGCCCCTAACCTTGCATACGCCAGATGTATTCATATGAATTTTACACATTATCAATCTGTTAACTCTCCTGTTGACAGCGTTTCCAAAAGGAAGGGATATTCAGAACAATTCTGAGCTGATTGGTTAAACCAAGAGGCACCAACCTCCATGTCGATCTTTTAGCCAATCACATCGGGTAGACGCGCATCAGTGAGCTGTTCTCACTGCCACTAAATGCAGATTGTTCCCAGGTTTAAACGGGTTTTTCTGGGTAGTGTAAAAGTGTTATATTGTGAAAAAAAACATGTTGAATACAAAAATGGCTTCAGCTTTTTTTTTCAGGTTGTGGAGACTGGGATTAAAATTTAAGTCAAAACAGATTAAAGGAAAAGCAATTCAAAATTTTCATACATTTTTTAAGATCTATATTAACTTTAATTATATGTTTGAACTCTGCTCCTCAGTGGAGCAGTGTGTAGCTCTGCTGCTTTGCGGCAAAAAGGTTTTCGGTTCAATTCTCGGCCCGGGGTCTTTCTGCATGGAGTTTCCATGTTCTCCCTGAGCAAGCATGTGTTCTCTCTGGGTACTCTGGCTTCCTCCCACAGTCCAAAAACATGAATGTTAGGTTAATTGACTTATCTAAATTCTCACTAGGTAAGTGTGTCCTGTCTCTGTGTTGCCCTGAGATGGAGTGGCGGCCTGTCTAGGGTGTGCCCCGCCTCTCACACCAACACCCCTAATGACCACGATTGGGATAAGTGTGACAGAAAATGGATGGAGGAATTTTTACCTCCATCTTTCAGTCATATCAGTAAAGGTTCTGAAGCTGCTCAATGTGCTGATCATGCAAAAGTAGTTCCTTTGTTTGTCATTTTTTTCTAAATCAACCTAAATCCATGATAGTTTGTAGAAAAAAGGTCATTTTCCAATGATATTTATAGTACACAGAAGCTGATTTTGTGGCCCCAGAACAAGGAAATGTCACTTTGTTCCATGCTTATGCAAAAACAGTAACCAGAAGTACCACAAAAAAAAGTGCTCCAACCTTTAAAAAGAGAGAATTTTATTGTACACGTTCAGCATAAGCAGTAAAGCGTTCGTTTTAAGAGCTTTCAACGCTCGTTTAATTTTCAGACCGTCTTTCATAACTTTGGGAAAGTGAGTGTGTTAAGCAGGACTGTAGCGCTTAGCTTATCGTAGAGCTGCAGTCAGGATTAGCTGCTCGTTTGGAAAAGCGAAGGGCAAGCCGAGGCTCCCTCCTGGTGCCTCTCTCCCTCGACGAGGGCTTTAATTATCGGGGCACCGCGCTACAGTCAGGCAGCTACATGTGGGTGTGCTGAAGCTCGTCTGACTGTCTGAGCGCCTGTGCGGCTCCGTCTCCACACGGAGGGAGTGTGGAGGTGATTATTATCGTGTCTGTCGGTCTCTCGGTGTACCCAGGATCTGACTCACTTTATGCCACATTCACACACAAACATAATCCTACATATCGGAGGCCGAGAAGCACCATCTGCACCAGATAGCTCTCCTACGTCTGCAAACACACACAAGCATCCATTGAAATCCTCCCAACATTCCTGCTTGTGTTCTTCTACTGTCTGGACCTCATCAGTGTTTGGTTTATTTTTTAAACATGTGTGGATGGTATGAAAGGAATTTTTTAGTGCTTGCACCCATGAGAGAGCAGCTCTGTATTGTATATTTGGAGTGTGAGAACTGGGCTGCCCTGGCCTCTGATCTGCGTAATTACAGTCATTCCCTCTCTATACACACAAACATCTCCATGGTCTCTTCACATATAGGGGTTGTTAGCCGCTCGCTAAAGCTCTCAGAGCTTAAACTCTTCACTTTTCGTCCTTATTGTTTCTTCCTGTCACATACAGATGTATATTTAGGACCTCCAAGACAGCCTGAAATGTCCTGGCCTGCCTTGTTTTGGGACAGGAAGGAGGAGAGTTTAATTTCCCAAGACTGTTATTATATACAAATATGGTACATTAATGAAGGAAACAGCAGGAGGAAGCAGTGTATGTGTGTGGCACGTGGAGGTCCCACCCAATCCCACATCAATCAGCCATCGCCTTCCTGTATCGGAGAGCTAATGGTCTCTCCAGCGTTCCAATGCAAGCTGGAAAGGTCTGGAATTCCGTATTCAGTGTTTTCCAGGTCTTCATATGATGAAAGCAAAATATGTAGGGCTGATTTTATTTTTTCTTCATTTTCTAAATTCGTGCAGATAAATATCCATTTTCACTCTCCTATAGCCGCTTACGTTTCTTTGCATCACACTTGTATACATCATATTTGCACTACCTACATGGCTGATTTTTTTCATAATCCCTTCTACTGCATTTTGCACCATATTTATTTATTTGCACTGCACTGAACCTTTCCATATCAATGCCTTTTGCACCATGACTTTAAACTGGTTTTCAATTTCACCTACACCAGGGGTGTCAAACTGGCTCCAGAAAGAGCCGTGTGGCTGAAGGTTTTCTCTCCAACCAAGCAATAGCACTACAGACTGCAGTCGTCTCATCTACTGAGTCCAAACTGAACATGATGACTTGATGAGATGAATGGAGTCTGGTGTGCTATTGCTTGGTTGGAAAGAAAACCTGCAGCCACATGGCCCTTTCTGGAACCAGTTTGACATCCCTGACCTACAATGTTTACATTCTGATTACTGCTGCACTCTCGTAAGCTGCCCATTCACTGTTGAAAAGCTGTATACATTCTGTGTATACAGGTGCTGGTCATAAAATTAGAATATCATGAAAAAGTAGATTGATTTCAGTAATTCCATTTAAAAAGTGAAACTTGTATATTATATTCATACATTACATACAAACTCATATATTTCAGATGTTTATTTTGTTTAATTTTGATGATTACAAATGACAACAAATGAAAATCTCAAATTCATCATATCAGAAAATTAGAATATTGTGAAAAGGTTCAAAATTGATGGCCCCTGGTGCCACACTCTAATCAGCTAATTAACTCAAACCACCTGCAAAAGCCTTTAAATGGTCTTTCAGTCTAGTTCTATAGGCTACACAATCATGGGGAAGACTGCTGACTTGACAGTTGTCCAAAAGACGACCATCGACACCTTGCACAAGGAGGGCAAGACACAAAAGGTCATCGCTAAAGAGGCTGGCTGTTCACAGAGCTCAGTGTCCAAGCACATTAATAGAGAGGCGAAGGGAAGGAAAAGATGTGGTCGAAAAAAGTGTACAAGCAAGAGAGATAACCGCACCCTGGAGAGGATTGTGAAACAAAACCCCTTCAAAAATGTGGGGGAGATTCACAAAGAGTGGACTGCAGCTGGAGTGAGTGCTTCAAGAACCACCACACACAGACGTATGAAAGACATGGGTTTCTGCTGTCGCATTCCTTGTGTCAAGCCACTCTTGAACCACAGACAGCGTCAGAAGCGTCTTGCCTGGGCTAAAGAGAAATAGGACTGGACTGCTGGTGAG